TTTTTTTTTTTTTTTAGGCGGGGGGGTTGGCAAAATGTTACAGCTCTTGGACTTGTAGGTTTGCAGTGCGAAGCTCTACTGGCTCCTGAGACCCCGGAAACCACGCTGAAAGCGCAAAGATCTACGGATTTAGGGTTTCGGGTTTAGGGTTCCCCTCACAGAACTAAGGATTCTTGCTATCCCCCGGCCCTAGCATAAACCACACACCTAATCTCGAGGTTTCGATGCTTCTGGGAACTGGGTGAGCACCGAGGAGTCGTGTGCCTCCTGGCGTGGGTTGTGCAGGGTTTTGGGGTGGTTGCTTTAAGGGCTGCTCAAAGGCTTGCTATGAGGTTCTACAGGGGTAGTTGTCTAAATTAGGGTCCGTTTCGGAGCCGCAAGCATGCTTTCCTGAGCTCCTATTGTGGCGTTTAATCTAAACTGCAATCTGAGGGAGATGCATACACGCATACCTGCACACATACCGACCGCCCGACCTACCTACCGACCGACCCACCGACCGACCGACCGACCCACCGACCGACCGACCGACGGACAGACGGACCGACCGACCGACCGACCGACCGACCCCGACCTACCTACCTACCTCCGACCTACCTACCCAGCCTACCAGCCTACCAACCTACCTACCTACCTACCTACCTTCCTACCTTCCTACCTTCCTACCTTCCTCCTTCCTACCTTCCTACCTACCTACCTACCTACCTACCTACCTACCTACCTACCTACCTACCTACCTACCTACCTACCTACCCGCCTAGCTAGATACCTTTAGTTCCTTTTCGGGGTTCATAATTAGAATCCTATAAGGTAATCCCAAAAAGGAACTACTATGGGGCCTATGGGTATACGGCATCAAAATTCCCCGATCCCCGGAGCGTAGCGGGACCTAAGTTACCATCACAAGCGATGCGCGCCAAGTACATCACATGTGTATCTACCCATAGGCCCCATAGTAGTTCCTTTTTGGGATTACCTTATAGGATTCTAAATATGAACCCCCAAAAGGAACTACTTTAGGGCCTATGGGTAACTATTTCTGTTATTCCGCTGGGTTCCTTATTGTACTATATACCTCAGAACTCTATTCTATTCCCCTGCATTAATTGCTTATGGTGGGTTTGACAGAGGCATAGCATAAGGGTTGAGGATTTCGGGAATATCGTGCATTTATAGGAACACCAGAGTTTTTCTACTTGTGTGTTCGTTCATGTGTAGGACTTTGTCATTTGCGCAGCTGCGGTCGGGGGATTAAGAAATGCTGAACCATGGTAGCAACATGTAGCAAACCATGGGCCCTGCAAGCCCGAAAACCCTAAACCCTAAACCCCTAAACCCTACACCCTAAACCCTAAACCCTAAACAAGCCCCGAACCCCGGAGCAGGATCCGCTTTTTAAAGGGTGGCGTACTATATTGGGACCTAAACAGGGACCCTAAGTTAGAGAACATATATAAATCCCAATCCCAGGTCCCCCAAAGCCGTGTGACAAGTAGGAGCTTACCGCGTCTCACCTTCGGCTAGTTTAGAGAAGGCGGGGATACTATTAAAACGGCTCTATGTTGGGTTCTGTAAGGGTTCCGTACATGTTTCTTTATTTTTGCTACAACTGTCTAAGGATTCCTCATGCCTCATAAGTCACGAAGGGTGTAGGGGTTTGAGGATGTGAGGTTTAGGGAAGGGTGGTCAGCCATGTTACCCCAGAAGTATGCCAACCATTGGCAAACAGCTTCGAGCCGGTAGTGTTCAAGCCCTACACATCTCAAGAAAGTAGTACCAAGAAAGCCCCAGGACGCTCGAGACGCAGGCCACCCTCGATCTCCATTGAAACCCCAACTTAAATTCTATTCTTTTGCAAACCCCCCCCCCCCC